AAAAACAAATACACAAATAAAAGTAAAAATCCGTCCATTTATTCATCCATTCATCCATTGATTCATTCATTTATATTTTTAATTCACAAAAAAATGATGTTTCTCTTTCATGATGAAAATATTAGAATCATAACAAACGGAAGAGGAAAATAGTTTTAAAATCACAACTTACACACAAGAATGCAACAACAATTAATGAAAGTTTGAGCCAAAAATCCCAAAATGAAACAAAACAAAACCCAAGCCCAACAACAACAAAAAAAAAAGGAAAAGGAGAACAAAATAAAAACCGACACCAATAATTATTATTTTCCGACAAATAAAATAAAATACCCCCCCTCCCCCACCCTAAAACAAGTCCTCTCCGCCGGCTGGCCTCTCGACCACAAACGTTCAGTCTCTCTTTCTACCACCAAAGCATCTCATCCCATCCCATAAATTTACGCACAGACTAAACACCAATAAACCCCGCCCTTTCCATCTGTCTCCTTCTTTATCCCTCCGTTTTCTCGCATGAACGGGCCAACCCTTCAGACAACGCAACAGACATACAGAGCAAGTACGCACTCAAGGACCTCACCATTTCAGTCGTTGGTAGAAACTGATCCATTGGACTTTTCGACCACCTTTTCCTTCTTTTTTGTGAGTCTTTTATTCTTCTTTTTGTGTCTTTTATTCTTCTTTTTTTTTCCTTCTCCCTATCAGTGTTAGGACGCGATAAAATAAAATTAGACGAGAGAAGGCTAGACAAGATATTATTATGGTCAGAGGATCTTTTTGCAGGGGGCAAGGGGGGAAGGGGCGGTGGAGGTAGAGAATATTTACGAGATTTAGTTAGACGTTTTTATGTCTTTTAGAAGCTTCGACCGTCGCTCGGAAAATGATTCGGATAATGATGATGATGATAATCATTATTATATCTTTTTTTTTGGGTACCATTCTTATTGTCATAGGTGCTGTTATTATCATTTGTATTGTTAATATCATTATTATAGTAATCGGTTTCTTTATTATCAAATTATTATTATTATTATTGTTATTATAACTATTGTTATCATTATTGTTGTTATTATTACTACTATTATTTTGGGACACCATCATTTTATTTCACTTCGCAAACAGTGACAAAAATTATATCTTATAACAGGATGAATATATTATATAAAGTACTACAGCTCAAGAGGGAGAGGAAAAAACCCACCAAAACAAAACAAAAATTAAAAGGAAAAGGTATTTTCCTTCCGGTAGTACCACCTGGTGATGGCCAATTGCAAATAACAACCGTCATTCGACTTCTTTTTGCATCTTCTTGGAGAGGTGCAAGAAGAAGATGTTTGTCTTCATGTCAGAGTTTCACAAACGAACAATGAGCTCAATAGGTCTTCGGTAGAGAAACAGGAAAGC